TGAAACCTTTTAGTCTGCCAAACTGTTATGCAGTGTTGGATAAGGAATGTTAGGAAATCATGCCAAGATTACAAGCTAATAGTTAAACCCTTGCATTCCAGACATATTTTCATGACCAAGACGGAGTCAATCACATCTATGCTTAATTGATTAATTGGTGAAATTGTCCTGCTAGGAAGCTGCTCCTAGTGTTTGCTTGTTTATCTGTTAATATTAGGAAACTTGTCTGCTTAGTAACAGCTTAGTTTAAACACATTAAGACTCTTTTTTCTCTTTCTACTTAGGCAATTCTGTTGTCATGTAACATACCTAGCAGTAGTGGGATTCAAATTCTTTTACTATCGGTTCTGTGGGTATGGCTTGGTGGGCATGGCATGGCTTGGTGGGCATGGCTTGGTGAGCGTGGCAGGGGAAGGATACTGAAAAATCTCCATTCCCACCCCACTCCAGGAGAAGGATAATGTAAAATCTCCATTTCTTCCCTACTCCTGGGAGAAGGCTACTGCAAAATCCCATTCCCTCCCCACCCCACTAACCTGTTTTTCAGCTCTGTTCTCCTGTGCAGGGCAACAAAAGAAGAGCCAGCCAATCAGCTGAGACTCCGGAGGCAGAGAATAGACGTGGGCGGGGCCCATCAGAGGTGGTATTTGCCGGTTCTCTGAACTACTCAAATTTTCCACTATCGGTTCTCCAGAACTGGTCAGAACCTGCTGAATACCACCTCTGATACCTAGGATTTGCTACTTTCAAAAATTCTGGATTGCTCTGTTTGCCAGCTGGGTATTTTTTTAAAGTGCCAATGCTACATTTCAAATTTCCACAAATGGTTTCTTTGACATGCTACAACATAGTGATTTTATGGGTGTTTTTGCTGGTTTTGCATCATGCAACCACTGGTTTATGGGCTACAGCTATCCTAGCTGATTTTTTCCAGCAAAAAAAAAAAAGTACCTTGATGCCTTTCCAGATCCTCCTCTTATGATATGCTTAGATTCTCGTCCCCACATTTTTGTATAAGATTGGAGAAAAATTAACACAACATGAAGTTAAGACAAGAAATTATGATGTAGGAGAGCAAGCAACCTCTTTTATTTCCTTTTTCATGGATTGGTCGTGAAGAAATATTTTTACTCAAGGACCTGTGGCAGCTCAGGCAATGCAATCATTAACTTACACATTTTCTTCCTTGATCTTAGTGTTTTGAGTTCAGAAAGAGCAATGACAAACATTTTCAAATCGCTGTTGAAGGCTTGAAGAACAGAAAATGTACTGTACTGAAAGTACTCTAAACTGTAAAGAAGTGGAAAGGGAATGTTTTTTTCTTCCCCCATTTCTCTCAAATTGAATTAGTTGTATTTGTCAATTCTGGATTTGATTACTTGATTTCCATTAATGCAAATGTGTGATTTTATTAGCATTTTTTTCTGTTTGATAGCCAATATTTCTTTTTACTGAAAACCACTGAAAGTGGATCATGTAAATGACAAATAATAAAAGGGATAATGAACCACCCTCGAAGATGCCTCTCTTAATGTTGACAAGTCCGTATTGTTCATTTCCAAACACCAATTCTGTCTTCCACGGCTTCATTATTTTTTCTATAACTATTCTAATGTTTTTACTGATTAATTATATTTCTGAATATTTGATGATCTAACTGAGTTGATCACTCAACCATAGCTCTGAGTCCTGTTGCTTATTTCTCAACAGATGCCCAGGAAGTCTAACATTTGGCAAAGTCCTTGTTGATCTGGGCAATAGCTAATCCAGTATAATGGGTTTTTTTTCCTCACTGTTAAGTTTGAGGCATGGGTTAATGAACGGAGACCAGACTGTAAAC